AAAGTTCAAATCTTCAAGATACTCTCTACTATGTATAGTATTATTAATATTACAAACTAGTGGGTGATTGCTAGATAATTTGTAATATAAAGAAGTCTTATTCAGATGTGATTATTCAAATTAAAGTGACTATTTAAATTAAGTGTCTATTTAAACTAAGACATGACTCTTAAATAAAGAAAAGTATTTTCAAACACATCTGCTGAAATATATTAATCAATTATTCAATATTTTCAACAAACACATCTTTTAAAACTTAACAAAACATGTCTATTAAAACAAATTGGACATAAGCTTTTAGTGTCTATAAAAGGAATGTATATTCAACCAAACTTCATTAATTCAAAGCATTATGCAATAGACTTGTTGTATCTTGGAAAGTCCTTATCTACAAATCCCCATAGTAGGCAACAACTCTTAAAAAAAAAAGTGTCACAACATGCCTCAAGCCTCTTTTTTCTTTTTTTCTTATTATGTTTTCTAACAGATGCAAGGCAAGGTTTGCACTGGTAGACTCATTAATGATTTTCCATGTTTCTTTTTACCTTTAAAAATTGAGCAGATTCAGTAATATAAAGATTTTGGGTTCTATAAATATGGTTCATAGTTTGTTTGGAAGAACGAAGATCTTATAGACTAATCATCAAATCTTCAACAAATGAGAGTTTGTTTGTCTGAAATGTTGAGTTTGTCTTGCTAGTTCTGCTACGACTAGGCTACTCTATTTTTTCGTTCTCCACCTTTTCCTCTCTTAATATAATGGAACACTTTTTGGCTTAACATTAGATTTTGCATAAAAACAAATGCATTTTACTACTATATATGTATATTATAAGTTTAATAGTTTTATCTTACCATAATACTTTTGATAAATTTCAAATGCCAAAAAAGTTTCAATCATAATTTTTTACTAGTAGAAACCACAATGTCTCAAAATAATTTTAAAATTAAGTAATTTTGAACTAAACATTCAAAATGAAAACTTATTTTAGTCACGATTTCATCTAACACGATTAGAGAATTGAAAAGTGTGTATATTTATAAAAATTAAAAAATAATTAACTATTACTAAATAAAGATATGTACAAGCTTCTGCAGTGCTGGCTCAAGTGTAAAGCCACCAAACCAGTGGCTTTACGCTTTAAATTTTTAGTAGATTTCCTAATTTTATAATAATAATTAATTAATTATATTAAAAATATACAAAAAATAGCATAATTATTAAAATATTAACCTATCTCTCAAGCCTAATAAATATTTATTTTCTCTCCCTTTTACGTTCTTATTAATTCTCACCTATTTAACTCATTTTCTATGTAAAAGTCAAAATAATTAATAAAATAATATATTTTTTCACTTTCTTAATTATGTGCTTAATAAATCTAAATCTTTTATCGCTTCACAATTCTTACATATAATTAATTCTCAACTATTTCTCCTGTTTCCAATCAAGTAATGGTAATATATATTTAATGATCTCCAATAGCTTTTTCTTCTCAACTATATCTTCTATTTGCAATCAATTAATAGTAATATGTATTTAATGATCTTTAACAAATATTTTTTCCCTATATATAAAACCAATTAGATATTTTTATTCAATTTATAATATCCACTTTTGAATTCTTCTTTTCTCATTTGCTCTATCTTCTTTTACCTTCAATTTTCTTTTAAAGAATACGTAAAAAGACTGTTATATTATTATCTTCATAAAGTTTGAGCCTCATTTATTGTTTGCAATAAGCATTCAATAATTAAGTATTATTATTTTAATATTTACAGATTTTTTTACTTTTATTTAAAGTTAATATTATATTATTATATTATCTTTATTTTATATGATAGTTTTTATTGAATTATAAATTTAATTAAAATTTTTAATTTTTTTTCAATTTCAATAAAAATGATTACGTTTGAATATTTAAGTTTAAACCTTCAAAGTTATTGACTCTCCCTTAAGCTCCTACCGTTTCATCTTGCCCTACTTATCACTTCCATAAATGCTGACTATGGTCATCAACTCTTGCAAAATGTAGTAATTTTTTATGGTCACAATGCCACATGGTTTCCCAGAAGAACTGTGTCAGTGACATTGTTTGGCAGTACATGGCTCTCTAGATGGGGGTCATGTTTTTCAATAAACATATTGCTTGTTTATCCTTAAAGTATAGAATAATAATCCTTTCAGAAAAAAAAGGATAATTGATTTTTTGGTATGGCTAAGTTGAAATGTGCTAGCATTTAGGATTTTATTTCTCTTCGCTCATTAATTCTTTTCTTTTTAATATGATAATACATTGGATCATAATATGATACTATTAGTATAATTAAGGCAGGATATTCGTTTTTTAGTTTTCACACATTCAAATGTAGTTAGTTGATTTTGACTATTAATTTATTATTTTTTAAAAAATTATTTTACAATAACGTAATAACAAAAATAATGAGAATAATTTGAACAAGTGAAGCACTATTTACACAAAATAACTAAAATAAATGAAATGTTACTTCATGCAAAATAATTAGAACAAGTAGAGCGCTATTTCACACGGAACAATTACTTCACACGAATAACAGTAAAAGTAAGTCGGAAGAAGTGACAGTGTTCATGAGTTACTTTCATCTTAAGAAGTTTTAGAGAGTTTGGCTTGTAGGTTTAAATATGGAGGCAATTAAGAATTTTCCTCTCAATATTTTTATCTTCAAAAACAAGTGTTTCTCTTCTCACTATTTCAATGTTCATATAATGGGTTTGGTAACGATTGCCTCTCTTCTCAATAAATGTTACTCATGTGCATTAAAACCTATTGTTGAGTAACACTTTCTTTTAACTCTAGGGTTTTCACAATTCATATGAAAAGAAGAGACTTCTAGAGCTATAACAACACATTTAACTTAAAGCTCCTCTCTTTAAATATTCTTTCTGTAATCCTCTTTTATCTACTTTTTTCTCACCCTTCACTAATATTCTAGTATTTTAAGCACTACTCCAATCTTTCTCTTCGTTGTTGCTTCTGACGTATCCTTTTACTTATTAATTTGCAACACTTCCTCTCTCGTTCTCACAAGAACCCTTTGCTGGTCTCAATAAGGACCCCATAAAGGACAACATCATGCAACTCGGATGTGTTAAATATGACATTATTAACCAAAAACAAGTATAAAAGCGGCAAAGCAAAGAGTTAGAAAAGGATCCTTTCACAATGTTCACAACATTATTGACGCGGCCATAGCAGCAAGCAGCGCTTGTTGTAGTTATTAATTGCAACTCCAATGAGTACAGTCTACGGGGATTGCTTATATTAATTAATTAATCGGTGCAGCAGCGATACATGAAGAACTTCTCCATTTGCTTGCCACAGTCAAAGCAAACGACCCTCTCATGGATGCTTCGAATTCCAGCAGTCCCTGGAAGTATCAGACGGTTGCAGTGATGCTCGGTGCGAAGACCTTGGATGTGATCATTCAACGCAGGAATAAAACCTTTTTCTGCCGCAAGCGCTTCCCATACAGGATATTGGTCAAGGCTTTTCAAAACAATCTCCGCCTTACCCCTGGCCAGTTCATCTCCCCTACTTATCACGGCCCATCCTTGCTCACTGCCATCAAAGCTGAGCATGGTCATGATCTCTGGCAAAATGTGGTCATTTTCTACGGTCACTCCATGCTGAACTCTTGAGTGCCACATGCTCTCCAACCGCACCCAGAAGAATCGTATCAGCGAGATGTCAGGCAATACACGGCTAAGATTCTCTCTCTGAATGGTGGTCATGTTCCGCCTAATTTTTTCTCCAGGGTTGCTTTTTCCCACGTAGAGCATCTCTAATTTGATATTAGCAGTTTGCGCAACAGCTTTTGCTGTTGTTGTGAATTTCCGAATCCAATCCATGTCTTCTCCACCATACAAGCAAATGAATTTCCCTTCAGTTAACTGCAATAGCAAAAGTGGCTTTTACATATGTTACATAAATGATTGATAGATGCTATTCGTATGAAGCAATTCTGATTAAGTTAAAACAAGCATTTCTTATATATTTATTATGATTAAGACTGCACATACCCAATTGATTATGGAGGGGTCAATAGAATCTGCCAAGAGTTCAATCCTCCATGTCTCTTCCTTCCAAAGAGCTTCTTCCCTGATCTTAGTGAAAGGGAATGCCGAGTTGCCCCAAATAAACATCATGTGAATCGCGTTAGAATTCACAACTCTTCCCTGGGAGTCTAACACCACTAGCAAAGGCTTCTTGCTGAAACCCCAGACCTCTTTGATGTACCTAATCACCGCTGGCTGAATCATGGAAGGGTGACTAACCGAGTACCATGGCATCATTGCTTTTAGAGACTCGAATTGCTCTCTCTTTGTGTCATCAAAGGGAACGGACCTGTCTACAACCGGGATCCAAATCACCTCGTACTGACTCTCTACCCTCGTTGGGTGCACTCGTGACTCGTCATACATTTGTTCCAGAATACGACTTTCGTCATGCGGCATCTCAAGGTCTGAAATGAATAGTAGCACAATTCTCCGCCTCAACACGTCAATGCTAACCTGTATGTCTTACAAGTACTGGATCAAAACCAAATCGTTCAAAACAACTCTCAAAGCCTTTGATATGTTAATTGTAGTTAAATCTTGATTTTGTTTCTTGATAACAAAAGTATTTATCTTCAGTTTGGCCGTAAGCTGCTTAATGTACACTATATTTAAGCCCTCTTGAAAAAATGGACTAGTTAGTTCAGAGAAAGAAAAAGGAAGTATAAATGCGGACCTTTTGCTTGGTAGTTCCATTCCAAAGTGGCAGCTGGTCATCCTTAGCGTAAATAAAAGCCTTAAGAATCTTCATATTATCGATATGCATTGCATCAAAGAGGCGCAACAGCGTTTGATATGCTTCAATATCCTTTCTCTCATCTGCATCGACCAAGTTTATTGTCGTTCATAATGATGCTGACTTTACATTTTAGCACTACCTTCCTATATCATGATCCATTTAATTTTATGTGAAATCTTTCAAGGGAAGCGACAGGACTTACTTATGCGTTGACGACAACGTTTGAGTTTCTCCATAAGATCGCTGCATATATTGTCGATATTGTGCGCCAAGCTTGACAGCTCCCAAGCATCTGTAGTCGATGATACGAACCTGAAAGATATGATATTATGATTAGATAAAAAATTCTCTTCTCTTTCACTCCTAGTTTTAAAAGAGCAATTTATAGGAACATTATCGGGAGATAGCTTCTAATTGTAAGTTGAAGCTATTTTTTGTTGCCACATGAAATTGGAAAAGAAATAGGGAAACTGAGATGGCAAGGGAAAACCAGGGCCGGGAATGGCTCAATCAAGGATAATGACATACTCGTCGCCCATGCCAATGAGGCCTATAATTTGTGATGCGCAAACCACAGTACTTCGGATTGTCCAATAAACAGCTGAAGGGATATCAGAATTGGCGGATGACAGTTCTGGGTCTTCAGGGCTAATGTACTCAGATGGAAGCTCCTTCAATTCGATAATGCACTTGGCCACACAAAGCATCGCGTTGATGAGGTCGGCAAGCGTGTCAAATTTTGTTTTCAAAAGGTCAGCTCGCGCAAGAACTTGTGGCAATTGTTTGAGGAGTGCAACCCCTTTGGCAAGTGGATTAGTAGTGTAAAGCTGGACAATCAGCAAGAATTCACCATAGCTCATGGCAAATGCTGCCAAGGCTAGTACAACCTTTGCATCCCATGAGTAGCTTTTAACTACGTGAGCCACTGCTAGAGTTGTTGCATGTGCATCTTCACCAGTTGACAACCTGTAGGCTATCTGTCATTATTTTAAAATGTAAAAATTAATTACTATATAGTTTTACAGAATAAGAAGGCATTTGTTATTCGATAGATAATCACATAAAACCGCTTTCTAATGTAGAATTAGTCTTATAGTAATAACAATAACCTAACCTCGCAGGAAATTCTGTTTATGATGGCTGATAAATAGTCGATCGACTCATCAGCGCTTAAATGGAGAGCTCTTTCATCCGATTCATATATTTGCATGTGTGCTTCCTGTGCAAATGTTATCACTCCCACCACGTCATAAATATCATAATCATTATTTTATATAATCTACAAATTCTTATTTGATAAATCATATAATTTATCCAATCTCTATTCATAATAATTTAATTTTTATTATGGTAATCATTAAAATAATTTAAAAAATAAGGACATATAATATTTATGTAATTGCTAGAAATTATATGTTATTAAATAATCAATCAAAAGGTAATAATAAATTAGAAAAACAAGAAGCTGATAGAGAATCACAATTTCACTAACAAAAAAAAATTATGATGTAATGATAAAAAAAAAGTTACTGTATGTCCTAATTTTTCTTACGAATCAACTAAGATTAATTCATAATTACACTTTATGAAAGTCAACTTTTAATTTAATAAATATAAATAAAATTTTCACTAACATTAGTGATTAAACTTAAGTTTATTACAAAATGATATTTTCACAAATTATTCGATAGCTGATTAATTAAAATTTACTTTTAAGTTGGTTTTAGAAATTATATGGCACAATTTTTGTGAATGATGATAGCAAATTACAAAAAATTTTAACATGATAATTTAAGATTTTACTAAGTTAGTCCATCAAAAAACAAATTAATTCTTTTTTCTATAATTTTAATTTGTTAGTCAATCAAATGCCAATTATAGAACACGTCTCACTTAAAAAAAAAAACACATATCTTACTTAGTAGCTAATTGAATTTAACTACATTTATAAGTAATTTGGATTGGTTTGGGTTTGAAAATTTTGACTTATAATTTTATTTCATTATTGATTATGAAATTAGATGTCTTTTTGTAATTATTATTAGTAATTAATTTTTACTCTATTATTATTTATAATTAATTGAATCTTTAATTTGTTAATAAGTATTTTATTTAATTATTTATTAATAGATAATTTTGTTAATTTTTACTCTAAAAATATTTATTTTCAAAATTCAAGTATTTTTTTATTTTTACTTTTTTTTCTGAATATTTATTAATTAGTTTTAATTGAAAATAGTATATTGTTTTCTATAACAGAAATTTTATTTTAGATATAAAAGTATCAATTTTAACATTTTCATGAAAATACATTTTTTTAACTTACATTTTATGTCATTTAGTTTAAATGTTAATTAGCTACGAATAAATGAAATCATGATTCACAAACCTAGATTTTATTATTTTAATTATGACATTCACATATAAAATCATCCATTATAACTAAAAGGCTACATTATGCAATTTGTCTCTATACTTTGACAAAGTAGTGGATTTAATCCCTACACAATAATTTGTAAAAATTAAATTTCTATACTTTTTAAAATTAACAATGTCAATCTTATTCTTAATAGTATTAAAATTTTTCTATTATTTATACTGATATGATATTTTTTTGTTGATGTGACATTACATATGATAATCTATTAATGATGACATGATTTTTTTATTTATTTCACAATATTCTTTTTACTGTTTAAACCATTAACTCACACTAGATAATTACATATCCAACTTATAAAATTCATGTTAGCATTTGATCACATCAATTATTACATCATTTTTAAAATACTACATCATCTTTATCATGTTATCAAATTTTGTGTCTTATTAACATAACCAAACGCTATAAGAGTATAGCTAATAAATTTTTTTTAACAGATTGGATTGAAATTATCAATTTTAAAAAATAAAAAATTTAATTTTTACAAATTATTGTAAAGACTAAATTCATCATTTTAATAGACTATAGGAAATAATTGCATAATTTAAGCTAACTAAAACCCAAGAGGGATAAGCGTTTAAGAGGAAGGCTTTTACCTGAACTGTTCCCCGTGCCGGAGGGGCTGCTCGGCGAAAGATGTCTTCGACAATGTCAAGAATAGGTTTCATACTGCTATGAATACCAGCAGGATCATGGATGGCCTCGATTTGCTTCCCAATGGCTTTGCTGCCGGAGGCTGATGAGAACATGTGTGGGTCGCTTCTACCATGAGACATTGCTGACAATTCCATTATTTCAGAGGTGGATTTTCTGGTGTGAGTCAAGGAAGGAAATATCCAAGGTTTTGTTGGATTTGTTTGGTATCATTCATAGGCCTTATATAGTTCATTTTGAGATGGAATTTGCTACCTTGCTTCCAAAGAAGTTTAAGCTATGAAGTGGTGACAGAGGATTAGAATTTTAAATAAAGGCTTGGCAATAGCTTGTCTGATCTCAGCAGTGTAAAGGCTTGTCCCATTAGATTATATTAACAGTATAAAGAATAGTCCTGAGTCCTGAGATTCCTACACTAGGAATTTTGGCGACTTTCACCTTCTGAAATGCATGTTCTTTGTTGAATGTTGATGTAAAAAAACTGTCTTGGTTTAATTACGTATTCTCTGATTATTTTAGAATTGTTCTGAGTTTTTGATTTTTCAATTTCTTTTTTTAAAAAAAAAATTAAAAATTTTTATTTTTATTTTAAAAATATCTTCATCTGTTAAAGATAATTATAATATTACTCTCTTTAAAAAAATAAAAATCTTTTATGATAATTTTAATCAAAATTATAACTTATAAAAAAAACTTATAAAAAAATAATTTATCAAACAATTTCAGCTTAACTTTAAAAGTTATTATTTTTCATAAAAATTTCATAATAGATTTTAAATAAAAAAAAAAACTAAATAAAAAATGCTCTAAACAGGATTGTTATTGGAAGTTTGGAACTCTGTGGTAGGAAGGCAAGTTTAGCTGAAGATGGAGATCCAGGAAAATTTACACTTGAAAAGTGTCTCCAAATGAGTAGGAACAAAAACCAGTAGAATCTAATATTATTTGCAAACAAATAGAATCCAGCCAACGTGATTAGGTGGTCTAGCTTTCCAGTGTGATTATTTCAGTTACAGAAGGAACCTTGCGTCTTTGAGGCAAAAAGCTGAGATGCGTAGTGTTCATCACATATTCCACCTAAGCTTTAGTCATGTAGCTGGCTTCGTTGCTTATTAGCAGGGTTGTAATCTCAATTAATTAAGAAATGAGACCTAGAAGTGAAGGGTTTATCCAACAATTGCATTTCTTACTTTGTTTAACCTTGTTTTTTTGCTTGTTACGCCGTTATTCTTTCAATTTCTGTTTTCTATTCGAGGTCCAGTTTCATCTGGTCAGCAGCTGCCCTGACTCTGGCGTTTGGCTGATGGAACCATTTCGTTCATCTAAGATTATTAAGCTTTCGATTAAATTCTAAGGGCTTGAAAATGGAGACTTCCAAAGCTTCAACGAGCTGCAGAATGTTGATTCCCAGGGTCTAATAGCGACCTTTTATTTTCTGGCAAGTAAATAACTCCCTTCCTAAGAAGCAGCCATAAGGCACCTGTGTACAGCACAGAAAAGTAAAAGAGCCTTTCAGCTTGATCACAGTAAGAAGAAGACAATAAGGAAGAGAAAAGGAAATGGGCATCTAAGTTCACGCTGGCTTCAAGCCTTCAAGAGTTAAAATTCATACTCTTTAGGGAAGTTAGTAGATTTGAGTCAGGCCACTAGGTGTTGCAGGGCAAGGGTTCAGCTATTAGAATAGCTGGAAGAATAAATATATTGTTTACAATAGCACAAGATCATAAAGGAAAGCTTGAGCAGATGAATAATTATTCTATCAATATACATTGTTCAACAAATTCCTTTGAAATGTACTAACAGTCTGTCTTGTCTACTAATAGAAAATTCTAACAGTTAGTAGAATATCAATTTCTTTGTTCCAAAGTTAGCGTTCGGTTTACAGAATGACAAATTTTTAATGCTTCTGAAATGTAGACGGCATGCCATTCCTACATCGCTCCATAGTTCTAATGGACGCATTTTTAGACTTGGGAGGGCTTGTTTTTCACATCTTCAGGAAGGGCCTTCCGGCTTCCACCACTGTTGTCAAGTTAACTTGAATCCCAGATTATAGTCATTTAAAAGAGGAAGAAACTGGTCTGCAACTCCTCTTTTTTCCCTTTTCTTCCTCCAAATAAGATTTGAACTACTAACTTCCTTTTTTCTGAAAAATAATCATAGAGTGTTCTGATTAAATCAAAACTATTATCATCAGTCCCCTCAACAGATGCTATTTCAGTCAGAAAATCTCTGTTGAGATTTCCTATTTAATTAGTTACAATTATTCATAGATGGTAAACTTCTTCATAAGCCGCTTACATTTCTGGCATACTATGCTTCCTTCAATCAACGCTTCAGAATAGGGAATCACTTGTGTGTGATTGCAAGGCCCACCAAGGAGAGGTGGTTCAAGGACAGTTCTGAGAGCACCTATGAATTCCAACTGTGCCACATTTTCTCCCCACTGTCGAAACAGATTTAAGCATTTAATGATTTCACCCCCTTGAACCCTTACAATATCTGCTGATGATCCATTTCCAAATACCGCCCAGCCATTGTCATCATTGTTATACAGCAAGGCTAACACCTCTGCTAGAATATGATCAGTACTGGCAGTATGTCCTAGTCGGAATTTTGATCTTCTCATGCTCTCCAACCGAAGCCAAAAGAGCTGTACCTTCGTGAAAGAGAGTAAGGTGCTGTGTATTTCTGTATTGATAGTGGTTAAAAGGTCTTTTACATGTTCATTCGGGTTATTCATACCAACATATATCATCTCAAGCTGCACACCTGCATCCTTTATTTCTTTCGTTTCAGCACTAAATTCTCTGATCCAATCTAAGTTTTCACTTCCATAAATGCAAATATTTCTCCCTTCTTCAACCTGACATAAATTCAAAGTAATGAGTAGAATATAAAAGATCTAGCTTTTGCTAGGAAGAAGAAAAAAGGTTTATTTTAATACGCATTAAGAGATGTGTTGTTGGTTCTCAGTATCTTACCCATTGAGTAAGGATGGGGTGAATTTCATTAGTGATAAGCTGCATTGTCCACTGCTCCCTTTCCCAAAGCTCATTTTCTCTTGAAAGAGAAAAGGGGTATGCCTCAGAACCCCATATGAATACCATATCAAGCGCATTCAAGTTTGTTATCATCCCTTCTGAATCCAAAACTACCATAATGGCTTCATCGCCATAGCTCCATTCTTGCTTCATAAAGTTTATTACTGCAGAGTTTAGAGACCATGGTTGTCGAACTGAGTAACATGGTGTGGAGTTTGATAGAAAATTGAACCATTTCTCCTCGGCATCAGTCCATGTTTCAGAACATGAAATGGGAACCCATATCATTTCATAACTTCCTTCTACCTTTTCGTGAGGATGATCGTATGTTTGGTGAACTAGAAAAAACAACTGCTCTAATGGTAGGAGATCTGGCTTAGAAACCAAAAGTAGGACAACCTTGCTTTTCAATTCAGAGACACCTAACTGTCGATGAATCCAAGAGTTACTAAATAAGATGAACAGAGTTTTTAATCATAAAATGCCAAATGATTACATCATTTTAGATTGAAGGGCAAGTAGAAGAGCACCATGATTTCTCCTTCACCATATCAGACGCATGAAAATTATACAGAAAAGCCAGTTGCCACATCTAAGTTCTAATACTATAGTTGTTCAATTAGCAAAACTTGTGGTGACTTTAATCAGAGTGTTAAGAGGGAAATAACAATCTTTTTCTTTTAAACAGATACAAATAATTAATTTAATGAGCAAAAAGTAAAACAAATTAAAATGTAAGAAAGAGAACTTTCACCTTTACTTGTGTAGGACAATCCTTGAGTGGCAGGTCATCCTTTAGAGCAAATAACATCTGAAGCACCTCTTGGTTGTCGATGTGGGACTCCTTGAAAAGGTTCAGTAGCTTCTGGTGCAGCTTTGCTTCTGTAAGAAATATAAATGCATATATCAGAATTACTATTGTACAAAATGTGCTTGTGTAGTCAGTGAAAGGCTTCTAAATCATTCTAAACAATCCAGGCAGTGACCTGTTTGTTGACGAAAAGCATCCACCAGCTGCCTAAGGTGACTGTATATGCTGCTCAACCTGTAGTCCAGACTTAAGAGCTCCCATGCCGCAATTATTATATTGGAATACCTGTAGAAGTAACTGAAGTCAGCAGAGTTATTCAACTTGAAGTGTGGCCTCAATATATGAAAAAAAAATTGGAACAGATAATGGGAAAATCAGCATTTTCTAAGATTTATGACAGGTCAGAACATGCACTTGCTCAGGTTTCATGGCCTTCAGGTTTGTGATTTGAGAAGAGCAGGCCAAGGTGCTTCGTATGATCCAGTAAGTCGTAACATAGATCTCTGACTTCGTAGCAGCTATGTTCTCAATATTTGGTCCTACAAGTACTGCTGGCAGACCTTCAAACTCGATGATGCACTTTGTCAAATCCACCATTGTCTTGACAAGCAATCTTAAGGCCTTCACTTGAGGCTTCAACATGCTTATGTTACTCGGAAGTTGTTTAAAATCTGCAAGTGATACTGCCAAGGGGATTTGAGGGCGTAGCTGCATTATGAGGCAAAATTCACCATAGCTTGTTGCAAAACCTGCGAGCACTAACACCACCTTCGCAGCCCATCCATAATTTCCCAGCAAATCAAACAAGGCCATTGTTCTTGTATGAAGATCTCCTTTACCAGGGCACTTGCAAAGCATCTGCAATCATAATAAAAAATAATAATAAGACATTTGTAAATGCAAGGGGACTAGAGAAAGAGAGATCAGAATTACCTCATGCGCAATTTTATAGATGGTGTGCACTAGTGGTTCTTGTGATCCAATTAGTTCAATGTTGCTAATGTGACTCTTTAAATTTGCATCAGTAGGTTTAGCAGAAACCTGTGTCAGAAATACAGCATCAAGGTTATTAGCAGCATACTTGAATACCTTATACCAAAAGACAATAACAAATGCAATGAAGTTTCAGAAATTCAGTCTACAATATAAAACTTCTGTAAATTATTAAATCAATCAAAAATTGTATCCTATTTCCAGTGATTAACTAGAATCATAATTTTGTTCTTATAAGATGCAAGTTTTGACAGACAGTAATGTCTAAAGGACTTGATATTAGTCTCATTATACCATTTGAAACAAAAGGGCTCAGACCACAGATAAGATGTTAATTCTTGAAGTTTCATATGTTACAAAGCATTTCCAGTTTATTCCAGGGTTGACAAGAGTTAGCAAAA